AAATCTGATGAGGTTCAACAAGGACAAGTGCAGAGTCCTGCACTTAGGACGGAAGAATCCCATGCACTGCTACAGACTAGGGATCGAGTGGCTAGGCAGCAGTTCTGCAGAAAAGGACCTAGGGGTTACAGTGGACGAGAAGCTGGATATGAGTCAACAGTGTGCCCTTGTTGCCAAGAAAGCTAATGGCATTTTGGGCTGTATAAGTAGGAGCATTGCCAGCAGATCGAGGGACGTGATCATTCCCCTCTATTCGGCACTGGTGAGGCCTCATCTGGAGTACTGTGTCCAGTTTTGGGCCCCACACTACAAGAAGAATGTGGAAAAATTGGAAAGTGTCCAGTGGAGGGCAACAAAAATGATTAGGGGGCTGGAACACATGACTTATGAGGAGAGGCTGAGGGAACTGGGATTGTTTAGTTTGCAGAAGAGAAGAATGAGGGGGAATTTGATACCTGCTTTCAACTACCTGAAAGGGGGTTTCAAAGAGGATGGATCTAGACTGTTCTCAGTGATACCAGATGACAGAACAAGGAGTAATGGTCTCAAGTTGCAGTGGGGGAGGTTTAGGTTGGATATTAGGAAAAACTTTTTCACTAGGAGGGTGGTGAAGCCCTGGAATGGGTTACCTAAGGAGGTGGTGGAATCTCCTTCCCTAGAGGTTTTTAAGGTCAGGCTTGACAAAGCCCTGGCTGGGATGATTTAGTTGGGGATTGGTCCTGCTTTGAGCAGGGGGTTGGACTAGATGACCTCCTGAGGTCCCTTCCAACCCTGATATTCTATGATTCTATGGTACACCCACACCTTGAACGCTGCGTGCAGTTCTGGTCACCCCATCTCAAAAACATATATTAGAATTGGAAAAGGTACAGAAAAGGACAACAAAAATGATTAGGGGTATGGAACAGCTTCCATGAGGAGAGATTAAAAAGACTGGGACTGTTCAGCTTCGAAAAGAGACAACTAAGGGGATGTGATAGAAGTCTATAAAATCATGAATGGTATAGAGAAAAAGTATTATTTACCCCTTCATGTAACACAAGAACCGGGGGTCACCTGATGAAATTAATAGGTAGCAGATTTATAACAAGCATAAGGAAGTATTTCTTCACACAATGCACAGTCAACCAATGGAACTCATTGCTGGAGAAGTTGTGAAGGCCAAAAGAATAAGTGGGTTCAAAAAAGGATTAGATAAATTAATGGAGGATAGGCCCATCGATGGCTATTAGCCAAGATGGTCAGGGACACAATCCCATGCTTTGGGTGTCCCAAAGCCTCTGACTGCCAGATGCTGGGATTTGATGACAGGGGTAGATCACTCGATAATTGCCCTGTTCTGTTCATTCCCTCTGAAGCATCGGGCATTGGCCACTGTCAGAAGACAGGATACTGAGCTAGATGGACCGTTGGTCTGACCCAGTATGACCATCCTTATGTTCTTATGAGAGGACAGCCAGGTCTACACCTAAAATGTAGGTCGACATAATCACTCCCCTGAGAGATGTAGCTATGCCGACCTAACCCCCAGCATAGATGCAACTGGGTTGACAGAAGAATGCTTCCATCGGCCTACTTACTGTTGCCTGGGGAGGTGATGTTCCCACAGTGATGGAAAAACCCCTTCTATGAAAGTAGGCTGCATCTTCACTACAGGGCAACGCCGGCATAGCCCCCGCAGTGCAGACATGGCCAGCACGTCTACTGTGGCCTGTGGTTGTAGCCTAGCATTGTGCCTTGTGACCCAGACACCCCTCCCTATAGTGCATCTCAGTACCATAATGACTCAGACTTTCCTAAATGTACCAGTCTGGCCACTACAGGACCAGACTCTTGTTTTTGTACTTCATTGTTGTCTGGGACCAATGTTTTCGCTTCCCAGCACAGACTGATGACAAAGGAGAGAAGAAAACGAAGTGGTTACTGATCACTAGATAAGAGTCGCAGTTATATACTAACAGGATGTGTCAGTGTGACCCTGACCTCAACTGTAACTGCTATGACCGCACAGTTGTCAGTACAGCAGGGGTGGGTGCATGCCTTGGTTGTGGCCCAAATAATGTAGCCACAGAGCTGTGATGAGGAGAGGACTGCTAGCCTAGGAGCAGAGATTTGTTGTGCTGATTTGAGTGTGCTGAAACTTGGAGTCTATGTTAATTCCATCAAGGTTAAAGAAGTCAGGTATTTTATAGACATTGCTATTGAGGGCCAAGTCCCATTTAATATTGGATTTGGATTCAGATCACAGAACCCCAGCATATCAGAAAAAAACCCTAGGAATCCTCTTGAGAGCAAAGTTTAACCTGTAAAACAACCTTGGGCTTGGGAAGTATTAACTGTGCCTACATTAGATTAAGGGGAGGCTGTGTTTGGGAGAATTTAAGAATAGATTTAGACAAACAAAAATCTTCAAACAGCAGAGTTTGGAAATTTATACAGAATCCTTTGATTTGTTTATAGGCATTGTAGGACCAAAATTTATTTGAGTTGCTGTAATCAAAATACAGCATGGATTTCACTGGAATTTGCTTATACATCACCAGCAAACCAAGTCTCTGCAGTTTACTGGCTAAACTGATCTCCAAGAACCATATTTCTAAAGTAATACTGGATAGAGAATTGGAAGATGCTGAACATTACAACAGAAAGAGGGCTGGGGCATTATCCTTTGTTTTACAATTTGATTTCATAGGAACTAGTATCCCAGCTACAAGAGTAAATTATCCAACCGAATAACTGGCCTTGTGAAACCATTAAATGCTTTGACTAATTTCAATATCACTTCATCTTAATACATGAAGGTAATTTGGTCAGCTGAACTGCTACCTTAAATAGAAACACAATGGGTCAAATTCAGCCTGATGTAACTGAATGAGATGTATTTGCAGCTCAGTTTGAACTGGGCCTCTGTTATTGTGAACAGGTGCATATAATCTGGGGTGTAGTGAAGGGCCCTGGGATGATTTTAACTGCATCCTCAAGTAACTGCAGGTGCAAAATTGGGCTTGCAATAATTTGTGCAAATAATTGTGGATGCCAAGATGAAAGGCAGCTCCTAAAGCTCTGACCTCAATGTCCTGCTACATAAAAGAGTACAAACAGCCATCTGCAGATAGTCACTCACCACACTCATGAACATTAACAAGCCCTGATACACATAGTAATGAGTCACCAGCACAAATGCACTTGTAATCTCAGAGAGACATTCGTTATAGTCTTCTGAAGATATTTGATCTGGCTCAGTATTAAGTTTACTCTGGATTTATAGTGGTGCAGAGAACAATTTTTTGCTCATGATTTTGAAATAATTTCAGGTATTAGTAAAACAGGTGAGTAAATGGAGCTATGTTTACACCAGCTGAGAATCTGGGCTGTTATTTTTATATGATTTTTATCATGACAATATCCCTTTGATATACTCTCACATCTTCATGGTACACAGGGGACCAAATTGCTCTCCTTGGTCCATGGGTAACACTCTCCTGACCTCAACTGGGCTGCAGCGGTGTAAGAGAGAGAGAAGAATTTGGCTGCCATGTCCAAGATGGAGACATATCTACTGTCAGATATAGAGCCATCACCTACCTCTGTTGCCATGCTGGCTAGACTTAGCTCCACATCGAGAAGGCCACTTCTATTCTCACTGCCATGGACGCTGTATTTACTTTGCTAGAGGTGTTAGAATATAAAGCACAACCATACGAAAAAGGTGCATTGACTTGTGCACAGCTCACTTAGAATATCAATCTGACAGACACTCAGGGTGAGATTGTGTCTCTAAGGGCTGGTCTATACTTAGCCGCTAGTTCGGCGGCTGGAAATCGAACTTCCTGGTTCGATTAATCGCGTCTGGTCTGGACGCGATAAATCGAACCAGGAAGTGCTCGCCGTCGACTGCGGTACTCCAGCTCAACGAGAGGAGTACCGCGGAGTCGACGGGGGAGCCTGCCTGCCGCGTGTGGACCGCGTCTGAACCGCGGTAAGTTCGAAGTAAGGTATGTCGACTTCAGCTACGTTATTCATGTAGCTGAAGTTGCGTACCTTACTTCGACTTGGGGGGTTAGTGTAGACCAGGCCTAAGTCACTGCCCGCATTGGCAGAAGAAGGGGAGGACTGACAGCAGACCAGCAACATCTCCCAGGAGGCACTTTGCCTCCGGCAGGTCCAAACTCTGCAGGAGAGACACACAACAGTGGTATGTGCTATATCTTTCTAACAGGGTGTAACATGTAGTCCCTCTGGCAGTCATCAATCCACTCCGTAACTATTCACTCCCGGCCAGGATCTGGGGAAACCCTGCATGGTGACACTAACCTTTTGTCTATACTGCATTTTGGAGCCTGTGGGAGCGAGCCTCTCAGCCTGGTTCGACAGCGAGCGGGGTTCACACTAAGACTCTAAAAACAGCTGTGCAGACAGACCTTTGAATCCCACCTCCCTTCCCACCTAAGCTTCAGAGCCTGAACTGCAACTTCAAAGGTCTATCAAGCCGGCATGGGAGGCTTGCTCCCACGGACTTCAAAACGCAGTGTAGACATATCTTAAGTTGCCAGGCTAACGCAGCCCCAGGGAGAACCACAGGGTCTGTCTGTATCCAGGAGCCTCAGGAAAAAATCCTCTATAATCATTACAACCTGTTCTCTACCATGAGAGACCCTACATACCCCACCCTCGGTACTGATTCTACTCTACCCCATCACTCCTCTTTGGGTTTTCTAGCACCGTGTCTGTGCATACCTGGCTCTTTCACAAGAGGGTTAGGAGGGAATGTTTGTGCAAAATGAGGCACAATCCATCCCACAGCAATTCAACAGAAGAGTTCAGCTAACACAGCTGATTCTGCTGCCTCTGCTGACCATTTACGAAGGAGGAATACAGATCTACTGGGAGACATCAGGCAGGGGCGGGAAACCTGGTTACTTTAACATAGAAAATGGATACAGCAAAATGAACAGCCCTCTAGAAATCCATTTGAGATGGAATTTGTTCCATGTTCCTACCTCAGAATTAATTTTCATCGTCTCTTCAGTGTGGTAAAGTAGGAGCTTTTGCCCAGAAGAAGTTAAGTTAACGTACACCTGTAGACAGGGGTACTGAGAGATTTTCCAGCAGTCTGGACCACAGCTAAATGAGCAGTTAAATGCTTCTGTGATCGATGCATTGAGGAGTGTGCACTGAGCCTCTTCTGTCCAAACACTAGGTAGAAAAGAGACAGGTTAGACAAATCACAGCAAAAACGGGCAGCAAAGTAGCAAACATAGCCGGGTGTTACCTTCAGGGATATGATACTGTAAGTCTTTAGGGGAGAAGCGCTTTCATGAGACTGTTGCTTACAGGGTGGACTTACATTCTCGGTACAGCTCATCCATCATAGAATGGATTATTATTCTGTAGCATGTGAAGGAATACAAATATAGTGGCTACATATGCATGAAATGGCAACACACTTGGGTGGGTTGTTGGCAGTAGGGATTTAACCTGGTCTCTTAACCAAGGCTCTAGCAGATTAATCAATCTCTAGTTGGCCTAGCCACCACTAGGGGGAGACAGAGCACCACACTGACTGGGCATGGGCACGTGTTATGTTCTTCCATAGACAAAAAGCAGACAGGAACTTTTTGTTTGGAGAACATTTGAGATTAAAGGGAACAAAGAAAGCTACGATCAAATGTAAAACATGCCTGGGAGAGACCATGGTCTGCATGGCTCACTCATTAATGGCAGTCATCTTGAATTAACTCTGAGAGTGGGCTCCTGAAGGCAGAGTAGGAGGACTAATTCACTCTTAAAGGTGAAGTACTTAGAAAATACCTTCACAGTTACATAGACACATTGTACCATATGGCCCTCCACCACCATATGGAATGCTACTTGTCAGAATACTTTTTCTTCTGGTACAGGTTTTGAAGAAGATAAATCACTTTGAGAAATCATTCTGGAGAATTTCTGGCCTATCTTGGGTACATAAGAGCCTAAAAGGGAGCAATGTATCCATTTAAACCCCCCAGATAGGTAATGCGTCATGAACCTTATTTCTACTGAGATGGAAATAAGAAAATACAATCTATGACTAGGTTTTTCTTAGGGACAAAGGTCACTGGAATGTCACAACTGACAGCTATTCAGGAAATTCCATTAGTGTCCAGAGGGGGTCCCCCTCTCCCATTGGTCTTCCTCTGAACCCCTATGGGAGCCCCAAGATGTTCTGGCGCCTTTTGCACTTACATTGCAAAGGCTGTCCTATCTTTCTGCCACAGAAGGGCTGGGACATAGCTCCTTCCAGAGCACATCAACCCTTCTTCCTGCTATAGCAAAGTATTCTCAACCTCTGCAAGCTGTGGACCAAGTATGAATCAGGGTTTGTCTACACAGGGATACTCAGGAAAGTTAATCTGAATTAACTAAAAGTGTGACAAGATTATATGCTAAGTGATTTAGATGATCTCCTGGATAATTCTCTTACCAAGTATTTTGCTCTGGTAACAATTATAGTTGTAGGTTCCATGTATTCAAAATGGTTGATAATTAAAGTTCAATTATGGCATGATAATTCTGTTAATGATTATGAAAAAAATTGTAGGATTTTTGCCCATCAGGGCAAGATGTATTTTGGTGGTGGGGAATTGTTCTCTGTGGCCTAATGGCTATTGCAGGAGAAATGACAGAGACTCATGGGATCTATTCCTGGTGCCTTCACTTTTATTTCTCTGTAACTTATTTTACCCATGTATAAAGGGTTATAATTGCACCTATCTCACAGCTGAGTTTTGAGGCTTAGTTAATTAATATCTTCAAAGTGTTTTGATATCCTTGGACAATATGTCCTATAGCTCATAACATAACTGATCTTTCCAAAAAAGCAATGTTGACATTAACAGCCTCCATAATTGACAATTATATTGCTAAGGAGGACTGGGAGAGAGAGTGATTTTGAAATGTAAACACTCTTGGATGTTTAAACAGGCTTGATCTCTGTCTCTAAAGTTTAAGATCTGTCTGGATTTAAAAAGGGATGAATAATTTTATGCCTGGGAATAAGATGCAGGGCAACTAATCCTCATGCATCAATGCCCATCCTGAGCATTGCAGAGGTCAGGAAGGGATAGTTTCCTACAGGTACAGCATTACACAATGAATGTTTCCCCTGCTTTCTCTGCAGAATCAGGTATTGGCCACTGCCAGAGGCAGGATATTGGGCTTGATGGACTAATGGTCCAATCCAGAATGGCACATTATTTGTTCCCATGTCTTCATGGATCAGAATAGAAAAGAATTGCTGACAACCCCATCACAAGTCTAGGATGGAGTCTAAGTAGGGCTCATGCTTGAAAGTTACTCTGAAGCACAGCCAGTGAATCAGAGGGCAAACTTGCTGGTCCTTAGCTAAGAAGGGAAGCTGTGGAAGGACATCAGAAAAATTAAGTGCAGTATAATAACTATGAAAGATGATGTCTCACTTCTAGCAAATTACTATATTTCAACAGGATTTCACTTGTTAAAATGAAGGAATTAGCTTACATGAGAACTAAATGCTATAAAATAGCACGATCCCTTTTCCAAATTAAACTTCAATTTTTCATTTGAAAGGGTATTGTTTCTCTAGGCCACTGAATATTACTGCTGCTCCCCGCTGAATTCGACAGGGGCTCTGTTTTACAGCGATAGGCACTCCATAGTTTATGGACTCTAGGAGGCCACAGACCAGCTGTTAAAGATATTACACAAAATCTATATTGTGAGGGAGAAAGTGTTTTCAGAATCCAAAACTGTTCATTCTCCTCCCACTCTAATTAAACAGTGACAAAGCTAAAAGTGGTGATCTGTGTTTTGTCAGATACCATAGCTCTGATTCTGCTCTTGCTTACCAGTACAACTCACTTGTCTGCAGTGGAGTTATTCCTGATTTATATTGGTGTAAGTTAGAGGAGAATCAGGCCATCCTGATCAAAGAGCAGCATGAGGAGACGAGAAATCATTAAAAGGTCAATGCAGGGAGGGAAATGAAATCAGCTGAGCCGGACATTCCAGGAACAATGTAACCATAATAAATGTACCTCTGCATGTATGACCGCAGCAGCGTAATTCCCAGGAGGAAGTACATCATAATGGAGCACACCATCATAGTCAGTCCTAGGAGTATGGCCCGATCTTCTCCTGCTTTCAGAGCTGTGACTGTTTTCCTTTTGTCCAGTAGATCGTGATCCCTGATTTTTTGGTAAATATTTCTGAGGTTGAAAATAATACATTCTTATGTGAAGTTCATATTTAATCAATGAACCCTCTAAAGGGTGGGTAGTTCCACCACCACTTCCATCTCATGAGAGAGAAGGGCTCCTCAGATGTCCTTTTCAATGGATTCATTCTGACCTGGCAGGGAATTAATTCACTTCCAAAATATTTTACAGTCATTCCTGAAAAGGTAAAATCCTTGTATTGCAAATATAAACATTTAGACACTTGGGCCAGCTCAGTAAATCTATCTCTGATGTATCATTGACTCCAATGGAGTTACTCCACAGTTGAATTTTGACCTATTAACTCCAACTCTTGCCCCAGTCCCTTGAACGTTATTAGGCATTTTGCTGGGTGTTTTTCTCCCCCGGGGGGGAGGGATAGCTCAGTGGTTTGAGCATTGGCCTGCTAAACCCAGGGTTGTGAGTTCAATCCTTGAGGGGGCCACTTGGGGATCTGGGGCAAAATCAGTACTTGGTCCTGCTAGTAAAGGCAGGGGGCTGGACTCAATGACCTTTCAAGGTCCCTTCCAGTTCTAGGAGATGGGATATCTCCATTAATTTCAGGCCTAAGTTCATTATAGTAGCCAGGCCAGAAGATAATATCCACCCAAAAATGTCTGAGGGCACCTCATAACACATTCTTTCTCATTTGCCTATGGGTCAGTAGAGGAGTCTGATTCAAAGCACATGGACGACAATGGAAGTCTTTCCATTGACTTCCATGGTCTTTGGATCAGGCCCTTATTTTCTATTTTTAAAATGTAACTCATGGGAATACATCTTATGCATTACAATTAATACCCTATCTGAAAATTATCCACCAAAGCTACTTTTCCCCTGCAATTAAGAAAAATACAAACTATTCTCCCCTCCAGCTGAGAGAGTCCTTTTCACTTCCTATGTCCTTTCATCTCCAGGCCTTTGATGATTCAAAGGTCACAGGGACACAGTGACAAGGGAGGGATGTACTTGAGTACATTTCAAACGCACTCAAACTTTGTGGGTTTAAAATGTACTTACAGACCTGAAGCTGATCATAAGCATCTGTGTTTTCTGTTAAGATTCTTTTGAATCTTCCAGGCAGCACCCGATGCATGTAAGCCGCATACCTTTGAGCCCTGGCATCACCATAAAATGGCCATAGTAGTACCACCCGGAAGTAATTCGTCTTCTACTGTCTGCAAAACGGCAGGTGAGCAGCATCAGAATGAGCATTATTTTGGGTTCTAACAAACCCACAACTCATCTAAGCTGAAACTATCAAGTTTCACTTGTTCTTATTAAAAAAAACAGTAGCATGTAATCTACATTAATAGATCAAACACTGCAATTTCCAACAGCCTTACTACTACATATAGGGATAATACTGCAGTCATTTTAAAAAGAATGGTTTTGATGGAAAAATCATAAATGGGACTCCCACGTCCACTAAAAACAGGACAATAATTTTGATCACAGGTTCCCAAACCTTTGCAATACTTTTGATGAATCTAAATTGAATTTGAGTTTATAGTGAGAACCAAAACCAGAAAAGGCACATGCGGTTGGTGTTTTGTAGCAAAAGTTTTGCCCAGATCTTGCTAGAAACTCTCAAACATTTCAACATACCTAAAATACGAGTGAAATTCTGGTTCCACTGAAATCAATGGGTGTTTTGCCATTGACTTCAACAGGGCTAGGATTTCACCGCATCTCTCAAAGTTTCTTCTGTTACTATTGATATGGGGGCTTTTCTAGTCATTACCTTCTCCAGATAACAATTTTCTTTCCCAAGTTTATGAGTTCACTTCTAATTTACTTCCTTAGATTTCCAGGGTTTCGCTATAAAACCTGGTTCCTTAAAGACTTGCTACTATTTCCTTCATTGGAAACTAAACAGTAATTCAGCCTATTGAGATTTCCTGTGGTGTTGTGGGGAATCTTTTGTGATTTTATTGGATACGGTTGCCTTCAAAGAACTGATGTAAAAGAACAGTCAAATGTTACACTCCTTTTATTATTTATCAAAATGTATTTAACTCTGATAGCTGCTATTAAGATATGCATTGCTTCCAAATGAAAGAAGGCAGTAAGGTACCAATAGTCATACAGTTCCAGAACATTAGCCAATCACACAGCATGACTTATGTCAGTCTGTAGATGTAAACCAGACACAGTGCAATCAGTCTCTAATGTCACCAGAACATAAAAGTGATTTAAATGGACGATTTAAAAACAAACAGCTAATTGAAAATAGTTACAAATGTTTCCCATGTGGCCTGTAGCCAAGAAGTGTGCAATGAAAGGTAAAAAGATGGACTACAAGCTATGTTGTAGAAACAATCTACCTACAAGGTGATTGGAAAACTGAGCAGTGTGTGGGGAAAGTTTGCCAGTTTTTTTCAAGACCCCAGGGCCACAGAGAATAAGCATCTGCTGATGAGGTCATGCCAGGAGCATTGACAACTATTTTTCTGTTGCCATTGTTGATGAAAAGCCCTAAAAAAAGATGGAATTTGATGCATTTTATGTGATGTCTTCATCCCCTGAACTGCTGCTATAAGTGAGTCTGGGTAACAGTTGAACACTGTGCAAATATATAGTTAGACGATGACTTGAGGCACGGATCTGAGAACGTGGTGGTGTGTCAGATGCCCCATCTCACGCAGCAGCTCCAGGAGATACAGCACTAAGTCACAATTCCTCCCCTGCTTCCCCCTTGCTCCAGGGGGTTCGTGGGGGAACTTGCTGCTGGTCAATACCAGCAGAAAATTCTGATGCTCTTCCTGCACCAACCAGAAAGAGTAGGAGGGGGTGGAGCCACGAATCTGTGCACTCCCTACATTCCCTGCCCACCTTTTGCAGTGGAAGCAGTCAGATGGTATGTAGCACCTGTTTACGTCTATGAACCCTCACTTGATGCCTGGGTAGCCTGCACAGTGGAGTAATGGGAGATCTTACCCCCATCTGACTCCCCTGTGTAGGTGGGTAGCCCAAATCACAATCTAACCCATCCCATAAGCAGCATGTCCTGCCACCAGCAGAAGCACCACTCCCTCATTTCAGCTGGAGTAGCAGAGTTATTTTACGGGGACAACTGTCCTTCAGGTCAACACAGTGGACGATTCTACTAAAATCCACTCTGTAGTATGTGGCTTTGTGATGGACTGGTTTGGGCATGTGTGTAATATGTGCCTCTCTGCTGGGTGGGATTTGTCAGTTGTGAACTATTAGCACAGTGGAGGAGCTGCTCTCACTGGACTGATAGAGAGCTATTCTTAGGCAGCTGATTTCTGTTCCTGTTGCAGGGCCGGCCCACAACATTTTGGCACCTGAGGCGGGGAGCTCAAATGACGCCCCCATGCCCAGGGCCAGCTCCAGGGACCTGCTGACCAAGCACGTGCTTGGGGCGGCACCTTGGAAGGGGCGGCCAATCTTGGGGTGATGGGGGGCGCTCGGGGTTTTTTGTATTTTTTGGTTCGCTGGGGCGGCGCTCGAGGTTTTTTGTTTGTTTGTTTTTGTTTCAGTGGCGTGGCACTGGGGGGGCCGGGGTTTGGGCGGCGCGGCGCGGGGGCGGGGGGTGGGGGGGGGGGGGGGGGGGGGGGGGGGGCGTGGCGTTGGGGGGGGGGTGTTACGGCAGGGCGGCGCTCTTTTTTTTTGCCTGGGGAGGCAAAAAAGTTAGAGCCGGCCCTGCCCATGCCCCCTCGCTTGGGCCAAAACTTTGAAAAGTCTCAATTCTGCCTTCTTCCTGTTCTACTCCTCTCATGGTACTGCTCTGCTACCTACCCCAATAAAGGAGAACTAACAACTTAAAATGCCTTGTTCAAAAATTTTAAATAACACTTAACTTTCAAACGCCTGAACAGCAAATGTAACTTTTCTTGTCTGCATAGTAAACACTGGCATTTTTATCTGTTTGAATAATCAAAGTGGTGCTTTCCGTGCCTTCTTGGTTGCAAAGATTTGAACTGCTTCCTGAAGGTCCACAGGCTGGGCCAGCTCATGCTCTGTTGAGATGGTTACAAAGCCGACCAGCCTCTCCTGTGTCATTGTGGAGTGTAGATGTGTTTTTATTAACTTCAGCTTGGAGAAGCTGCGTTCTCTACTGGCAACTGTTACAGGAAGTGTTACAAGTATGCGCAGAGCAACAAAAGCATTTGGAAAGAGGGTGGTCATCTTATTTGTGCACATATATTCCAGAACAGCCTTTGGAGTTGATCCTGCTGAAATGTATCTTGAAAGGGCTTTCAGTTCATCACCTAAATCAGTCGCATCAATATCGTGCATGTCATCATGTGTCAACACTGTCTCTAGTGCCCTGGTGTAGGTCTTCTTCAGGTATAGTGAGGAGTTTTGGAATATCATACAACATCCCAAATATACTGCTGTGTTCCTTGAGCTGCATGAAATGTTCTTCAACTGACTGTATTGCACAATCTAGCACCTGGTTAAAGAATTCAACTTTGAATTGTTGTTTGGGGTCTCTTATGGGATTATCCCGTGCCTCGTAATCAAAATGTCTTCTTCTTCGGGGACTCTTGTATTCTTGAATGGGTGGGAAAATAGCTTCAGTGTGAAGTTCCTCTGCCAACTTTTGTGCACTCTTCAGAACGTTTTGAAATCCCTCATCTGACCGTAAGACTGTAGGTATGACTTTGATTTATCCAGTTGTTCCATTGCTCCAGATATATCAAGGTCAACACCTTGGAGTCTCTTGCTTACAACATTTATTTCAAACAGTATGTCATACCACAACACTAAGCCACACATAAATTTGAAGTTATGTATATTTCTGGTGATTCCATTTCCCTCTGCCACTGTTCTCCCATGAACAGTGCCATTGTTTGGCACATACAGCTGATTTGAAGTGCCACGCAGTGCTAGGTTTTGGGTAGCAAGCATTCTCACAATGGCAATGAGCCTTTTCAGAACATTTTGCCAGTAAAGAGACTCTGATGCAATCTTCTCTTGATGCTGATCATCTATGGTGGCTTTTAACCTTAGTCTCATCT